AAATAATAATGTCATTGAAAGACTAAGCATAATTGAATTTATATTTGTCACGTAATTAGGACTTGAAAAACGACTAGGATGACTAGGAATAGCCCAATCCACCTTCATCATACTCAAATAGCCATTGATAACTACATAAATTATGAAGTAAGATGGGAGCGAACCTTTGTTAAACACGTCAAAGATTTCCTTTCTAAGTAGGAGCAAGCAAGATCGTTTGGTTATAATGAGGGGATAATCCTCTCGATATACCATCTTATAAGCATTACAAGGCCTCAATGGAGAGACATAGCTTACTTCGTGAGGGATATGAATTATGAGCTATATTTTGCAGGAAAATTGGGATATGATTGATATTAAAGGATATTATAAGGACATCGTAATCTTGTGGAACTACAGACAACAGGAACTAGTGCCAAAATCCGAGCCTGAGCTCAAGCCTGAATTAGAACCAGAGCCAGAGGAAGAGCCTGATGAGGACCCAGAAGAAAAGCCTAAGGAAGGCTCAGAGGAGAAAATTGAACCATAGCCGAAAGACCTTGAGCAAGAACTCGAGCCACTAAATTTCATTGATTTGGTTATGGATTCCAAACCTGAGTCATACATTATTTCAGATAATGAGACTCCACTAAAAGAAGATTTTTAGGACACATAGAGATTAGAAATAGATGTTATTACTCAGGAAGAGTTTATTTATTTACTCGATATTTTCTTTTTGAAAACAAAATACTATATGTAAGAATTTAGAATTTTTTTTTAGTTTTTGGTCATTAAAAAGATTATTATTACCATTATTATTGCATTATCAAATATTTCTAAATTAAAATTTTATTTATGTTAAGAAAATGTTGAGACAACAACAAAATCAAGCTATGGTCATCAGGGATTTGTTGATGGCAGTATAAGATCTGGGTAGATAAAAGCAAAAGCTAGTTCCAAGAATGCAAAAACTAACAACACCAGCTCAATTGTAGAATAGTTTTGTTGCTATAAACCCCCAACCTTCGATGGCAAGGCAGACCCACTGGTAGCTGAAGAATGGATGAGAGGAATGGAGCGTATCTTCAAGCATCTATCTTGAACTGATGCTTAGAAGGTATTATCTGCAAAATTCATGTTGGTTGATGCTGCAGGCCACTGATGGGAGTCAACATCATACACTAGAACAGAAGCACAACAACGTGCTCTGACTTGGACACAATTCAACGATGAAGTGATGGGAAAATACTTTCCACAAGCTTTGAGAGATCGAAAGGAGACGTAGTTTCTTCAACTTAAACAAGGAAGGATGAAGCTGGAGGAGTATGAGAGAAAGTTTGAACAACTCTCTAGGTACACACCACACCAAGTGGATATGAAGGCAAAGAAAGTAAGGAGGTTCGAACTGGGATTATATCTAGAGATTGGTAGAATAATAGCATTTCACCAATTCACTACCTATAGTCAGGGTTTTGCAAACTGCTCAGGCAATCTCAAATAGGTTTGAGATTGACCAAACTTTTCAGCAAGGTACCAAGCCTTCAGGAAAGCAAAAATGGTATGGTTCCAATGAAGAGAAAGAAGATGGACAAAGTAAGAAGATTAACATTGGACTAAGATTTGGACAAACTTTTCGCCCTGTCCAAAGTGTAACAAGACGTATAGGGATGAATCCTTATTGGGGAGTAATGTGGGCTATCGATGTGGCAAGATAGGTCATATTGCAAAAAACTACAAAGAAGCCCCCTAGAAGAAGGATAATGAGCAAGAAAAAAAAGGAAAGCCCGAGTTTTTGTGTTAACTCAAGATAGGGCAATTGAGGAACCGCATGTAGGTAATTTCGAGGACGAAATTCTTTTTAGAAAGGGAAGTTGTAAAGCCCCAAAATTTTTTAGAATATAATCATTTTACTCTAAATAGTTTCACGTTTAATAGTTGGGGGACTAAAGTGAAATAGTCATTTTTTAAAAATTTTATATTTTTATTTGGGTCAAATAATTAGATATTGATAGAACGAGATTTAGTGTATCAATATTGGACTCATTATGTTGGTAGCAATTAATACTCGAGAAAGAGTTAATTCAGGTAAGTTTAACATAAGATATTGAATTTTAAAGATATTATCATTTATTAGTTTTTAATTAAGAAGAAATTGGATGGGAGCAGCCACTGTATCTAGGATGGATATAGAAAATATTTTTTTTAATTCATTTCTTTTCTATTTGAAGTAAAAAGCTTATTTCATTGTCAGAGATTCGTGACTTGATAAATTCTCGAATTAATCACATTGCGGAGCAAAGGTGTAAAAGAGAAAATTGTGAGGTGGTTGATTGTGAGAAAAAGGGTGTAGAGCCACGGGAAAGTGAAAAGAAAGTTGAGAGTGAAAATGAAAAGATGGAATTGGAGTTTACGAGGTGAAAATGAATAAGAGTCTTCGGAGATGAAAGAAGGGTTGGAAGTTTGCTTAAATGAAAGGGAGAGTGGAGTTGAGGAGGCGTTGGCGATAACTAACATTTTCCTTCCTATTTTGGATAATTCTGTTTTGCAAGTTACTGAAGATTTAATTCTAGAAATTAAATCAATTGGAATCCCTTACAAGTCGAGCATCGAGCATCAATTGGTGGATAAAATTCAGCAACAACATTTTGACTTGGAGATATCTTATTTATTGGAAATTGATTTTGTGATTCTCAAGGAGACGAAGGAGTTTCAAAGGCATTGGTCAAAGTTCATATATAGAGAGTTGAATGAAGGAGATGAATTGAGAGGCAACATTGGGACATCGGCAGTGACATTGTTTCAAGTGCATGGCCAGGTAAAGCAAGGAGAATGCATGGATATTCATCAGATAGAGTTGCTATTGGAGCATTCCAAACTTGCAAGATCAAGCAGTCGAGGTGAGCACACTTTGATCTAGGTGAAGGTGATTGGGTTTACAATTGAAGGCGCGCGAGTTCGAATTCAAATGAGGTCCAAATTACATCCGATAGGTGATTGACCATTTCATGTTCTTGCCATGATCGGAGATAAAGGCTATAATTTGGATGATCAAGGTTCATATTTGAGATCAAATCATTTCGAAGAGAGAGGGAATGATGTGATCCGCATAAGGCAGTTTCGGGATTGAATTTTCAGAAATTTCGCAAGTTTCCTATTTTGATTAGAAGTCTAATCTTTAGCCATATTTAAGTTATTTTGGACCTTTTTTTTTCCAATTTTAATACGATTCTATAGTTTTAGTATAAATAGGGATCATATTTTCCATTGTATTCAAAACTTTTGACATGATGAATTAAAATAGAGAATTTTCTCTCGGGAAGCTTGCTTCAATTCTTGTTTTGGATGGAACGAAATTGAACTTATCAAGATCAATAGTCTTGTGGCGTTCAAACTTGGATTTTGATTCTATAATTCTCTGTAATAAAAAAGGTCGGCATATCTATATGATTTTGACAGTTGTTTGATTCAGCGTTAATGGATTAGATCTACAAAATCTGATGATATTAAATTAATTTGCGTAATCAAGATGTCCGCACATTATCAGTGATTCGAGTTGCTTAGCACCAAGTTGGTTGGATTTAATCCAAAACCTTGCTTTGGTTTTCTTGGGGACGATTTCAATCTTGATTGTGGGTTTGGTAGCGATTGATTACGCGGGTTCACATCAGTTTTTCATTCTTCAATACTTTAGTACTATTCTTAAGTGCTCTTCATGCTCATTGTTATTCCTTGAATAGATCAGGATATCATCGATAAAACATAATAACAAATTGATTAAGGTATACATGGAAGACACGATTCATCAAATTTATAAAGACTCCATAAGCATTAGTTAGACCAAATGGCATAACTAAGAACTTGTAATAGCCATACTGAGTCCTAAATGTTGTCTTCGAGATGCCACCAACATTAATTGATGGTAACTAGACCCCAAGTCAATCTTGGATAACACTACTACACCTTGAAGTTGGTGAAACAAGTTCTCAGTCTTTGGGAGATGATACTTATTCTTGATAGTGATTTTATTCAATTCCCTATAATCAGTGTACATTCTCATCGAGCCATTGTTCTTCTTAACAAATAGAATTAGTGCTCCCTATGGTAAAATATTGGGTCGGATAAATCCTCTACCATGGTTTTGTTTAAAAAAGGACCAAACACGTATCCAAATAGGATCGTGCCAGTTGGTTCGATTGGTTTTAGTCGATTTAACAATTTTTTTCCCAGACCTATCTTCAACTACGTATTCTTCCAATAAAATAATTTTTCATGTAAACTTAAAATCTTTTTTCTACTTTTCAACCATACATTATTCAAAAAATTATTATTACAAAATTTAATTTTACCAAAAAATGGGGCTCAAACATAACCAAAGTATGTTTTGATTTCCAAATTTGGAGGGTAAAACATACTCTCTATTCTTACATTGTAATAATTTAATAAGCGACATATTTTCATACTTTACTTTTTACATTTTCCAATCGTATTTGGTGGGGATTAAAATTATATTTTTTTTATAGGATCCATGAAAGATGTGGTTAATATTGATTGTTTAATTTTGACTTAAATTAAAATCAGATTTTAATCCGAATCAAACGAGCTAAAAAGATGAACATAATTCAATAAGTACTTCTTCAAAAATACAAAATGATCTATTATTGAACTGTATAAATAAATAATCATTTAAATTACAATTTCATAAATTATAAATAAAGAATTCGAAGATGCTTTTATTATTTATATATTCAATGCAATTATTATAAATTAAAAATAGAGAATATTCAAACTCACTCTTTATTTTAAAGATTTTTAATTTTGACTCGGAGCATTGAGTAGCTTTCACATGCTCTAAATGAGAGACTTAATTACCATTAAATTGAAGTTAGATGATCCGGTGGCTGACAATTGAACTTTAGGTATCTACTTGCGTGTGGAATGAAAGTTTAGTGACCTCAGGTGCAATTAACCCGCATATTAAAGGTCAACCTTTCTGGTGTTACCCAATACCCATGCCTGTTCTAGTCTTTATAAAGCAGAAGGGACAGGCGGCTAGTGGTTCCCCTGACACTAATTCATCTCTACCCAGCTTCTTCATCACAAAAGTTTCAAATTTATTTTGTGTAGAAAGGGGCTAATGTTCATTTTGCACTCGATCTGATATTCTGATTGTTGTGAATGATATAGTTTCTACCTATCCTCGCTGATTCCATCTTGCAATTCTCATCTTCTAGCTCCTTAGAATTTATTTGTTTTTTCCAAAATTGTTTTTTATTGATGGTAATCTTCTTCTGGAAACAGCGATTTTCATTTGATTTTTTATGTGATTGTTTATGGTTTTCTCCTCGCCTTTAGAACTAGCCTGCCCTTAATTAATGGATGAAATGCCCAGGAGCAAAATCCAGTAGGGGAAACTGCCTCGACTAGACGTGATTACATCCATTGAGGTTGACAATGAAGCGTTATATTTATATTAATCACGATGATCTAGCACAAGATCTCTATTGTGACAATCGCATATCAAACAGAAAGTATACCCTATGGAATTTTCTTCCAAAAAATTTATGGGAACAATTCAGGTATTTTTTTTTCCTTTTTCTGCAAGGCCATGTATTTGTGCCTAGACACATCGTGTACTTTTTATTAAGTAGAGTTTTCTTTATTTTATGTGTCAATTTGATTTCTTTTTTCCTGTATCCCTTTTGCAATAAACTGTGATCTGACTGTTCCATTATCTGGAAAAGTCAATATCTATAGTTTTAGAGGTGCCATCTATTAAGAATCACTAAAATTTGATACAATATGACTAAGTAGTATCAATCTTATCTCTCACACACACCTGAAAAAGTACTGAAACGTTAGTTGTGTGAGTTCATTTTGCTTAATGTAACCCAACAATGAATTCAGTTAGTGGACAGCTTGTCCCGTGATTAGGTTAACGATGTGCCCCCACTAGTTATGCATGTAACAAAATCATGAAGAATCTTTTCTACCTTCTCATTAGCGATTCATTGATTGAAACCTGTTCTTGTAAGAGAGCATTTTATTGAATTTATAAGGTGTAATTAATTTAAAGTGCTCAGGAACCTGTTTGGTTTTATGTATTTACTGTGGAAGCCATTTATCCACTTTGGAGAGTTTTATTGATTTAGAAAAATTCCTATGATAGGAAGTTCTATGGTGGGTGCTAGAAACAAGGAATTTCCATTTCATATATCAATATCATAAGATATGTATGATAGAAAGATTGGTGTAGTTTTAGTTGATGAGATTAGGAGGGATAAATATTTTAAGTTAGAACTTTGAACTTTAAACTTTGATGGAGCGTTTTTGAATTAAAAGGTTCTGAAAAAAAAAAAAAGAACTAAGGCAATAAATAGAATGTTGTTATCGTATTGAAGCTACTATAAAGGATACTGTATCCTAAAGATGATTGTTTTAAGTAATTAGCTTTGATGACTAATAGGGAACGAGGACTTTAAGAAGATTTAATGCTTAAAATTATAGCATGTTGGAAAAAAAATGGAGAGTTGTTATCGGAATATGCCTATAATGTTAAGGCAACTTATGCAAAACAATTACTATACTAACTATGCTTTATTACATGTCTAATAAAGGACATACTGTCCAGAACGTGAACTTAGTGAAATGATGATTCAAAGATAGACGTGTGGCTATACTAGACTGGTTAAAATAATAAATTACAATATATGTCTGCAAGTGGAGTGTGCACCAATTTCACATATGTTGAGAGAAAGATGATGACGTGGTTGGAATATGTCTTTCATGGACCTAAAGAAACTCCCATTAGCTATAGTAATTTAGTTCCAATATAAAATGTTAGAATAGGATTTGTATACCAAAATTTATGAAGCTTGATGGAGTATAGCAGAACATTGCCTTTTCTTGCTACCATGTGGTCGACATTTGTATGAGTGTTGCTATATATTTGATTTATTGGATTTCTCAGTGGATGTAAGGATGGTCAAACTGAGTTTCTGTTCTGGATATTTGAAATAAGCCTTCATTTTGTAGTTGTTATATGGTGGATCTATATATTTGACTGCCTTCTAAAAGTTTCATTATTTATCATAAGAACCGCTTCTGTATCTTCATCTAGATCACTTGCATGATGCTGTATATTTTTGCTATTGCTTCTTTTGGGGATTTTACATGATTTTATGATACCTTTTTGGTTTAATTTTATATGAATACCTTGCAGCCTTCTGAGTTTCTCAAAATCTCTTTTATCTCTTCACATCATGTTAATTTAGCCATTCTATAAATATGCTCAATGTGGCAATCTCATTATATTTTCTAGCTAACTTGGATGGAAATACTCTTGCAAAATGTAAAAGGGGACTTTTGTACTCAAAGATTGGAGATAAAATGATAATATTACACTAAATGTATGCAAAACTAAAAGTTATGAAAAGAAGCCTATCCTGTAGCCAAAGAAAACTCTGTAATTCCCATGATTAAATTTTCTAGTTTTCCAGCGTTTTGCCACCTGCAGCAACATTTTCAAACAACAGTTACAGGAACTAACACAGCACATTCTTTTCTAACACTGTTGTTGCTACCATCATCTGGAAGGATCATCCCCTTCCTACAGAATTCCCGCAGATCTTTGTCTATTCATTTCTCTTAATCACCATATTCAGGGAGAAGATGGACGGAGATATAGATATAGACACACAGTACTTCCTCGTTTGATCAAACAGGTCCTTTGCAACCTTGTATACGTTATTTCCATTGAAATTTTCATTTAGACATGACAGAAGTATTAACTTAACCTATTTTAAAGTGAAAGAATGAATTGACACAATTAGTAAGGTAGCCAAAGAAAAGCTTTAAGGGTTCAATGTGTTTCTTGATTTGGTTTCATAAGCCATTATACAAAAGGACTGCATTTTGTCTAGTGTATAAAGAAAAGCTTTAAGGGTTCAATGTGTTTCTTGATTTTGTTTCATAAGCCATTATACAAAAGGACTGCATTTTGTCCAGTGTGTATACATGGATGTTGAGCCTATGCTTTGTATTGTTTTTGAATATGTGCAATTGACTAATTTTGAAAAGGGCTTTTGAGTCAGTAACTCCTATGCATACGAGTATATGTATGTGTGCAATACATGGATAATTGGATATTTATTGTTATAGTCCATTCAAACATATGGGACTGCTTGCATCTATGGCAAGTGCAGAACTTGCATACGTCCATCCATCTGATGCCTATTTGATAAAATGAATTGATTTCTGACCTGTTTCCCTTGTCTTTCATATGCCATTTGGGTTTTGGTTACATAATTAGAATATTTGAATATACATTTTTACCAATTATGATTATTCTTAAAATGCACAGTTGTATTTGTTTCTATGCATTTCTTATATTTCTTCCTTTCTCTGTGTTTTATGTAATTATATTAACACTCTATTACAACCTTTGCACATTTAGGTAAAAAGTAATTCTGAGATGGATTATATTATTCATTATCATTATTGGTATAAAATGTGTCTATTTTCTTCCTTGTTCCCCTTTGTTATCCTTAACTCTTTTCTGCTGTTTCCAGCCGATTTATGAACCAGTACTTTCTGTTGATTGCATGCCTTCAACTATGGTCGCTCATTACTCCAGTCAATCCTGCAAGTACCTGGGGTCCTCTTATATTTATATTTGCAGTCTCAGCAACCAAAGAGGCATGGGATGATTATAATAGGTATCTCTCAGATAAGAAAGCAAATGAGAAAGAAGTGTGGGTTGTGAGGCAGGGAGTCAAAAAACTTGTAAGTGAAATGCATCATATGGCTGCTTGTTTTATTCTTGTTTTCTTTACCATCTAATGCATAATTTTTATTTTTTTCTCTAATAAATTGGTTAAATGTATCCACTTTTTAGGATTGACTACAAAAAATATGTTGTTGCTGTTAACTTTTCAAAGCTAATCACCCTGATCAGGAGCATTTTATTTTTCTCTTGCTTTTGAATTGTTTGAACTTGTCATCATACTGTCCTTGCATCTCTATAATTCAGTGTCAAATTTTTTTCTGATACTGAACCATTTATTGATCATCACACTTTTTTTTTTTTTTTACTAGATTCAATCTCAAGACATTCATGTTGGGAACATAGTGTGGCTTCGTGAAAATGATGAAGTTCCATGTGATCTCGTTTTGCTTGGTACTGCAGATCCACAGGGGATTTGTTACGTGGAGGTAATTTTTCTGCTCCATTTATCCTCCCTGAAATCTTATTTTCATGGTTGTAAATTGGTTTCTTTTCTTGTGTTTCCCTTCATAATTTGAAGTTATTTGTAAAATTTATGTGTACTGTTGATCTGTTGTTACCTGAGTTCTAGCAGAAAAGCTGGTTTGAAGATTTGAATAAACTGAAATCTTATTTCTCTTTGGCTGAAAAGCCATGTATATATACACGAGTAGATCTCTACAAATAAGGAAATAACTAATTTACATCCTATCTAAATATACAACCAATCAATTATACTATTTTATCTCCTATCTAAATATACAATGTGTCAATCATAACCAAATTAGAATTAATTATGACTGGAATGAGAAATAATTGCTAATACAGCTCCTATTTCCACACTCCCACTCAAGTTGGGTTGAAGATATTTTTCATCCCAAGTTTGGAACTAAGGTCTTCGAATCCTTTCCGAGGTAGGGCCTTTGTGAGTATACCTGCAACTTGGGAGTAAGTTAGTGTGTAATAAGTTTGATGACAATTTCAAATAATTCTAGTAATCAAATCCTAGGCAAAATAAACAGTGCGTGAACCCTCCCTAGATCGATGTCTCCCGTCATATGCAAACCAACTCTTCCACCACCTAACCCCATCGTCGCCGACCTCGCCAGCGCCGATCATCATACCCAGAACAAGCTACCAACCCCATCGGCCTCACGCCACAAAAACCAGCCTCGCATGCGCAGAAGATCCCAACCAGATCTAGCCCACAAGATCTAACCATGTTTCGACTAGACCTAGGTCTCATGCGCCTGACCGGATGCTTTTGCAGGTCATTCCGCCTCCGACCGGTTAGGATGGCCCACGTGCCGGCGCGTGGCCCACATTTCCATGGGTACTGCTATTAGACTTCACTCCTTTGAACTTACACATATAGGACCTTTATCATAATCATAGCTTGGATTTTCCTATCATTATATTCAAAAGATAAATTTTCTAATTTAAATAATGAACGAACAATTCGTACTACTATACTTACCTTTCATTTGAGAATTCAAAATGATAGAAGTAATTGTTGAAGGGAGATTATTGAGCTGCGTGTGGGGTTGTGTGATTGTGTAAGTGTATGACTATATTTAATATGAAAATGACGAGAAAAAGTAAAGGTGTGGAGAAAAAGTGATAGAGATAGAGAGGGAGAATGTAAATAGTTGGTGAGGGATAGTCAAATGTTGAGTTTAACTCCTATTTATATTGCAAATTCTTGGACCAAGTGTAGAAAATTGAAAGGAAATGGCTAGATATTAGGCATGGTCAAAGCATCATTGATGCATTGTCTTGAAAGTTGTCAAATCAATACCTTTAATCATGTGATCAAATCAATTGACTTGGTTTGAAACTTGGTGTAAATAATGCATGTGGTCAAATCAATTACCTTTATCTATGTGGTCAAATTAGTTATTTTGCTTAAAATGTGGTGAATAATGCATGTGATCAAATCAATCATCTCTAATTATGGCTAATTGACATATTTACATATATTTTATACATGATTTCATTTAACTTCCAAATTAACTCTTCACTTAGGTCCTCAAACTATTAGCTAGTAATTAATAAGGTCATTTAACTAGGTCAATAACTGATAAGTTCATTAAACTTTAATAATAGCACACTTAAGTTTTAATTTTTAATCTAACGACTAGTAATAAAGATTCGGGACATTATGCTCTGGACCTTAGGTAGTGAGAATCCCTATATCCATTAACATGACATTGATGACGCATATGGTGAAAGAAACTCCTCTGATATCTTCTTGGGCCCACTTGTGCATCCAGCCAGCAAAAGTAAAATGATACCCATCAGATTCAAGATTAATTCTCCATTTTGGCAGATCTGACATTAATCTTCCACTTAATATAATCTTTCCATATCCATGGGTAATATGGACTACAGACAGACTGTTAAGTCAAACAAATGCTGTACACAGACAAGGTTTAAACTTTTGAGCTTGACCTTTATATTTCCTGGACACCATATGAAATTTTCTTTATTTTTTTAGGTATCAGAGTCTAAAATCCCGAAAATACTTTTGTATGTAGTCTGTCTTACTTCCTTAATGACCCTGGCACTTACCACCAAATTTGTGCATAGTCATCCCCCAAAAAATAATTTGCTGATTCATTTGTATATTTCAAGTTGAATTTGTCATCCGTACTACATGCTTTTAAAATTATTATTACCATGTTTATAAAGGACTTGTATAATATTTTTGCTAGATACATTTCATATCCTACATGTTGATAATTAATAAGATGCATCCTGATTTGTAGACAGCTGCACTAGATGGAGAAACCGACCTGAAGACAAGGGTGATACCTTCTGCTTCCATGGGAATAGATTTTGAGTTATTGCATAAAATCAAGGCAAGACAATCATATATTATAAAAAATAGCCATATTACATAATAAATATTAATATTTGCTATATGTGTCATTTTGTTATCCACTTACTGTGGCAGGGTGTAATTGAATGTCCCAGTCCAGACAAAGATATTAGAAGATTTGATGCAAATTTGCGGTTGTTTCCTCCGTTCCTTGATAATGATATGTGTCCTTTGACCATTAAAAATACCCTCCTTCAGTCATGTTACTTGAGGAACACAGAGTGGGCTTGTGGAGTTGCTGTTTATACAGGCAAGTGTTCAATTTTCAATTAGTCCATTTTAATGCTGTATCGCTTATTATTTATCATAGATAAGCTTTTCAGCCTTTTCTAGGATATTCATTTGTGATTAAGTGGAATATTAAGAGGGAAGGAATGTTAGATATTCTCTTTAATTGTTCATTAATCTTTATTTTATTTTATTTTACATTCTTGTTTAGAAAACTAAATTCTCTTATTATAATATTTAAAAGGAAATGAAGCTGGTATTGAATTAGGTTCAGTGTCTGGATCTTTTTTGTCACTTTTTCCAGTCAACATTTTGGATTAATTTAGTTCTTTTCTCTGTATACAAAAACTATTTTGCCAATATAATATTTTATTTTTATCCCTTTTGTAGGGGAAAAAAATTTAAAACAAGCTAAAAAAAAAAAAAAAAAGACTTTTTCTTATCTGAATTAAAATAAAGAAAAAAAAAGTCTCAAATCCAATATATTTATTTTCGCATATGGCGTGGCTTTATAATTTATAGAAGGCATGGCATGTCTAAATATTATGGTAATAGTCAAGTATCTGTTATTTGCGCCTTTTTTTTTTTTTTTGGCCTTGCACTTCAATTATCTAGGGATAATGATGTCTTTTACAAGGTTAGGGTTTTCTTAGGATAAACTGAAGTCAGGGTTTTGGTTGTTTTCTGATGATTGTTGAATGGAAAAACTTGAAATATGAGTTGAAGACAGCTAAATTTGAATATAATCTATTAAAATATGAGTTGATGACACATACATTTAATTTACTTTAAATCCATTAAAATCTAAATTGAGGACACCCCCAAGATTCTTCTCAAACACTATAAAACTTTTGTATTCCATAGATCAACAAAACATGGATTTCTGAACTCCCAGGTATTCACAAATTTGGACATGTTTCTGGTCTCAGTTATTTCACTTCATCAAGGCTCAAGCACTCTGTTATCTAATATTGTAATTGATGAGTCCTTTTCTTTATTTTATTGTTTCTTCCCATCTCCGAAATGTATTTCATGGACATCTCAGGCATTTGGCATGAGTTGCTATTTTAGGTGTAGTTTCTGAATTAATATTGCCTTTTCTTCCTTATCTATGCTTTTCTCTTTAGTAGATATTTACAGTTCCATTTAGATGCATAGAGTTTCAACATTATTGCTCATTTTCTTATGTAAATCCTGAACATGTTACTGTAGTTCACAACTCTTTTCTCCTAGTTGCTTGAACATAATTACTGATTAACTCTGTTCTCAATTGCAGGCAATGAGACCAAGCTTGGCATGAGCAGGGGTATAGCTGAACCAAAGCTTACAGCTGTAGATGCCATGATTGACAAGTTGACTGGGGCGATATTTGTTTTTCAGATAGTGGTTGTCATTGTTCTAGGCATAGCTGGAAACATTTGGAAGAATACAGAAGCAAAGAAGGTTCATCTCGATTACCTAGTGTTACTTATACGACTGTTATGCTTCTCTTTTGGATTTCACAAATAGTTTAATATATATGCATATTTCATGTAAGCTGCAAAGCTGTAAAGCTGATTCAAATATTCTGAATCGTGCAACTATGTAAAAAATGCTGGTGGATGATTTTTGAAAAGCAACCATTAATTTTAGGCAACATTACCTATCTCAGTGATGATAGTTTTCGTTGAACATCTTTCTTGTCCACTTAACTGGCATTAGACAGCATTTAGAAAGCAACCTTTTTAGCCTCGTGAATATTAGCTTCCCTGAAAATGACTGTTTGATAATAAATCTAGGCCAAGTGTTTATAATTTTTATATTTTTCTTGATATTTTTTCTTAATGATCTTTTCTCATTGGAGTGTATTTGTGAGAAATGTTAACTCATTAATTTCTTGTTTGACAATAACACTATATGCGGAAGATAAATTTAAATGATATACAGGTAGCCTTCTCTAACAGCTTAAACTTTTAAATTAAGTGGTCCAACATGATATTAGAACAAGCAATAGAAGTTTGAAGAATTGATTTTTCAATCTTTAATGTTTTTTCTTCTATTTAAGTGATAAATGAATGTCTTATTGATATTTATGCTTGAGTTACATAGGCGTAATTTCTGGGTGTCAATGTACTAATCTCGTGCTTTTCTTGCCATTTTCGTTATATATGCCTGATTTGCATCTTACATTTATGCTCATTATCTCGATTTCTCTCTTGCAGCAATGGTATGTTGAATATCCAAATGAAAGCCCTTGGTACGAACTTCTAATCATCCCTTTGCGGTTTGAGCTTCTCTGCTCTATCATGATTCCCATATCAATAAAGGTAAAATTTTGAATTTGGAACTCGTATCATTTTATCCTTTATTATATAATGACTTATCATTATAATTAGACTTTCATATGTAAGGAATGTCGATTACAACATAAAATCAATGGATAGTCTTGAATTAGAATGAATTGGTAGTAAATGGATGGTCTGGGATACTGCACGACCTTGCATTTTTTAGGTGTTTGGAGATATATACAGAGTTAAGGGCTAAGTTTTTCAGACACTGTTTTTTTTAATATTGTTCCTCCTGTTTCTGAATTCCTAGCTAGTATTCATTTATAATTGTGTATAGATGCATAATTGTTTAGTATTTTCAACCAATGTACATAAGGTTGTGGCCCCTTGGAGGCCATTGAAATAAACTCTTTAAAAAAAATTAGAAAACAGCAAGCCATTTTATGAAAGCATGTTACTCCAGTTTTTTTTAAGAAATGCTATAAATGAAAGAAATAATTTTATAGTTTCTGCCTAATTTATATTATTATTTATTAGTGTCCATATGCAATGAAAGAGTCATGCATTGTGAGCACTTATATATGTATATATATGTATATATCGTTTTCTTCTTGATCAGTGTTTGCTCATCATTTCATTTCTTTGATTACTGGTCACTCCATGAAGTATGCTGCTAATCTCCAACTTAGACTTTCCTTGAACACATCACACATCCTATGGAGTCTTCCCCAACACTCGGTCTCCACTCCCCACTCTCACACCACAGCAAAACGAATAGAGTAGTGGTAAGAGTGTAACTGTAGTTGTTTCTCAAAGCAGGTAGGTTAAGTAGCACAATTTCGCTGTAAATGGTGATCTGCAACGTATGAATACCTTGTTGATTGAAGTTCTTTTTGGCCATTCTTTTCTTCCCATCATATAGTATATTTTTCTCTATGTTTTGAAGGTGTCTTACACCGGACACTTCAAATATGGGCCTTCAAATACTTGTCAATAATCATATTTACTCGTCATCATAATATGCTCTGTTTTATGTAAATATAACTCAATTTCAATGTGGCATGGTTTGTCATATTGATATCATTGAGTAATGTGCTTTCTCCTCTCCTGCAGGTATCATTAGATCTCGTAAAAAGCTTGTATGCAAAATTCATTGATTGGGATGATCAGATGGTTGATCTAGAAACAAGAATCCGGTCCCACGCAACAAAGTTAGAAAATGCTAAATGCACCTAAATTTGTTGAAGATGTACATGCAGATGAATTATTTTAATTTTCTTTCTTGTATTTGGCAGCACAGCAATTAGTGAGGACTTGGGGCAAGTTGAGTATATATTGACTGATAAAACAGGAACGCTTACTGAAAATAAAATGATCTTCAAACGATGTTGCATAAGGGGAACTTTTTACGGGAATGAAAATGGAGATGCTTTATCTGGTAAGATAATGTTTAGTTATGCCAAAGGTCATCAGTTGTTCATATTTGATACCATTAAGCTTCCTGTTGCTAGACAGATCATATTGTTTATATCTTCTGTAGCTTCTTGTGTTGCCTTGCTGTAAAGCATATATTGATATCTGAGAGTTTGTTCCCAGGTTCAAATGGTGATTGTTAATGTCTCAATGTGGTTCGTTGGCTCCTACAATAAAATTATAAAACATTCTTGCTCTTGATGATACCTGAACTAACTATACTGGCTTAATTTTTTATTTTTTATTTTTTATTTTTACTTTTTTTCTTTCTCAATTTTACTTCTGCTAGTGGACAGCATGCAATTGGATGATCATCTTCCCGGCAGAATTCCTAAAAGTTCATTTATAGGCTGTTAGTTGACTGTTATTCTGCAACTCAAACTAAATATTTGGATCCTTTGTATTATCTTACCATCTAGTTCGGGGTCGCAGTGTGCCCGGGCCGCTTGTGGCTGGCCTGTAAAAGCTGTCTCAGTGGGCTGTGGGCAACTGGCCAGACCGTGCCCATGGCTGGCCCTCTAGGCCGGCTCAAGTAGGCTTGTCAATTATTTCAAAAATTTTTAATTTATTTTCTGAAGATTCTATTTAATAAAAAACATGAAAGGGCCTGTGGGCAGTCCAGGCTTGGCCCTGCCCCAGATAATTTGATAGCTGGACTAGGCCTCAGTCTTGACGGGCCCAGCCGGGATGGTTCGGCCCATTTCCACCTCTACACTGGTCTTATGGACATGCCTGTCAATTTATATGAAATACTAGATTTTTTAAATGTTGACTGGCTCACAATGTTCTCCCAGATGAATTTGCTTGATTTCTTCTTTTCTCATTACTGCCTCAAAAAAAAAAAAAAAAAAAAAAAAAAAAAAAAAAAAAAAAAAAAAAGAAACAAAACATTGGAACCAGACTGCTATATTTTGTTTCGGATACAATTGGTCAAATCTTCTAACAATTTTATAAAGTATTCGTCTAGTTGTACCACGTGGTTACACATCTTGTTTCAGTAATGAGAAAAGAAAGAAAGCTGGCTAACTTATTTATTTGTACCACATAGTTATAGATTTTGTTTCTGTTATGTAGTCCTGGGTATCATGATGCTGCATGGTTATCTGAAAGGAATATGTACTCCTGCTGATGTTGGGAAAGACCTGTACTTTTCAGAAATCAAATTAAACAAAGTGAAAATAAGGTTCTATCAAATGAAGTAAAAATAAGGTTCTATAAAATAAATTCAGATCTGAGCTTATTGAAAAACACCCCAAGACTGTTCAATTTATTATCCCGTATTAAAATTAAGCATGGTAAAGCAAATAACTTTGAAGTCTGCTCTCCTCCCTATCTTTGTTTGTTGAATAGAAATCCCTCTTCCCTTTCTGAAACAAGAAGGGAGATCCTTTTCTATTTAGACTATACAGAACTTTAGTTGGTTGTTGACCAATGGAAAGCATTGTATCGGAGAAAATGAAGGCCAAACCTGAAACCTAGAACCTCCAGAGTGAGACAAGCAACTGTCCACTGGACAATTCCTAAATGCACACCAAACCTGCTCTCCTCCCTATCTTTTTTTGTTGAATAGAAATCCCTCTTCTCCAAAACTATTCCTAGATATTCTCTTGAAGGACGACTACATGGATGTGGGCACCTCAACCATGTATTAGGGGAGGCGGTACTATGGGAGAACACATGAGGGTAAAAGCTGTAGGCCAAAACCATGCACATAGGTCTTTATTTTATTTTATTTTTTTTTGTTTTTTGTTTTTTTTTTTTGGGGGCACCTCTTTTTCTCTCTAGGTTTTCTGTGCCTGACAAGACTGTCTTGGAGGCACCTTATACACCTAGCAAGAGCCTTGACCTAGTTTTGACCAAATCTTCTAAACATTCAAGAATTGCCATATAGTTAGTATCAAGTATAATATACTTGTATTCCATTGTTATTTTAGTGGCCATTGAGGAGTCCCAGTCGGACCCTAATAATGTAAGCTCCAGTTTTCTTAACTTACACCTGATCAACTCCCGAATTCTTGGTTCAAATCATTATTCCCAGACCACTTCACTAAAGGCCTAAAATTCCACTCTTGGATTATGTGCAATTAATGAAGCTATAACTCTCAAAACTGAGATAGTTAAGTCTTTTAATCATTCTTCTAATGTGTTATTCTTGTAAACCTCCATCGAACATCTGTAATTGAAGTTGGGTGCAAGATTACCATTTTATGCCTACAATTACATCTTCCTCTTCGGGTCAATTTTCCTCTAATGGATCACTGTGATTACATCAGAGCCATTTTTTAATATTAAATTATTGATTCCAGATTAATACAAGTATTGAAAAATGTTCGAAGGGTTGTTTATCCATCAACAGAGGGTAAACTGTTTCATATTGTAACATATGTTCCCATGTCTTCCTTAATCTTACTTCCGTGATATTGAGATGTTGACCACATCTTCATTTTAATCATCTGTAACTTAAAAAAGTTGGAAGGGCATGGGGTACTTTATCCATTCAGAATTCCTGTAATCATTTAGTGATCAAGTGAAAGATATTCGATCAACACCGATAATATTGAATTAAACCTCACATGATTTTGTCCAATGCATTCCAAATGAACTATTGTACGTCCCTTGAAGTCTCTACACTTATGACTGAAGATTAGTCATTCACCGATTCGTGAAGTAGACAACGATATGGCCGACAATAATTCATAACCATTCCTATTATCTTAGATCCTTTTAATATCTGTTCGTTAACCCAAATACGCAAATTAATTAAAATAGTGAATAAATCTCATTCAGTCCTAAACCATAAATGTCTAACAGATGCATATGATTCCGCTTTTATGACACTTATCCTAATAGCTGATAACTTGTTATGGCATTGACCTTTGTGCACTATTTCCTATCAAATTACTGGGGACAAACTCCTTTGCCTGCATTCTGGACACTTCTGCTTGCTGCGAAGCAATTTTTTGGTGGGTGGGGACTAATTTTTTTTAAAACGCATGGAATTCTGGTATCTTAAAAAGTCTTACCTCATGGATTAGCGGATCCATCCATTTGAATGGTTTTGGTTGAAGACTCTAAACATGATATCATGTCTGGGTTTTGGGGTCCCAGTCTCCATCATATTGGATTGTACATGTTTTCATCTGCATGTTTTGTTATTCATTATTTCTTTGAGTGTTCAGGCCCATCAGTGGTACTGAATGTTGGTTTCAATATACCTAGAAAAAGGATTATTCTTATTCACAGGTTTTATACACACCCTACATTTGCAAGTAATAAATGTGACATCCTTGGATGATTCATGAACTGAATAGGAAATTTAATCCATTGTCAATTAGGTTTGGTTGGATGGTTTCTTAGTGTAGATTTTGAAGTGAGTTTGATAATTAGTTTTGTTCCCACAGCTAGAAGATAGACTTCGTTTGTTTAGTCTTTGTTATTGGTTTCATTAATATGTCTGAACTGTCAAATTAATATTTGTACTATTTGGTGTTTTTCTGGTTGACGAGGTAATATAGCGAGGCTTCCTTTATAGTTAGTGAAAACAAAAAATTGATATTTACTATTCGTCATTTGTGCTATACAGATGCAGAGCTGCTTAATGCCGTATCTACTGGTTCCACTGATGTCATTCAATTTCTAAAAGTTATGGCAATATGTAATACTGTAGTTCCTATACAAAGGTAATCTTGCATGTCTATTTGTCAAATTCTCCAAGACCACTAAATGTGTATTGAAGCAAAATTGAAGAAAAGAGTGATATTTTCTATTGGTCTTAGCAGCAATATGTCGTCTCAGTGGTGTCCTATTTTAACTGAGATTTTTGTGTCTACATCATCGCTGATTTCCTTTATGAATTCTACAGCAACACTGGAGTAATCTCATACAAGGCACAATCTCAAGATGAAGAAGCTCTTGTAAGAGCTGCTGCTAGCTTGCACATGGTTTTTGTTAATAAAAATGGGAATGTTCTTGGTAGGTGTAACTGCATTTTTCTGTATTTTCTGTTATTTGAGGTGGAAGATAACACAACTTTTTCTGGTCATGCAGAAATAAATTTCAATGGTTTATTACTACGGTATGAAGTGTTGGACATTCTGGAGTTCACTTCTGACAGGAAAAGAATGTCTGTAGTGGTTAAATGTTGCCTAAGTGGAAAAATTTACCTCTTGTCCAAAGGAGCAGATGAAGCTATTCTTCCCCTTGCACGTTCTGGTGATAACTTTTTCTTCACTTTATCAGTTTTCCAGTCAGTTACTGGGCCTTACTGCTGTAAGCTATTAATGCAATCATTAGGATAAGATATGAATATCAACTCCCTATGTGACTAACAATTTACACAAAAAAATAATCTTCAATATGTGGTTAGGAAGGAATAACATCTGTAATGACCCAAATTTTTATCTTTGGAATCATTATACATGTACCGTAAAATAATACTTTCATAAATAATAAAAAAACGTAATATCTTTTGAATGTGAAATGTTTAAAACAAATTTTAAAGAAAATACAATAAACATCATTAAAATTAACTACTTAAATCATTATTTATTTTCAACCACGCAAGCACAATCCACCTCTGATCGCCTCGAATCAGCCTCTTTTAATTACCTATAAAATATTTAACATATACATGTGAGACATAAATCTGAGTAATATAGTAATAATGAATTTCCATCTCATATTTAATTATGGAAAATCATAACATACATATGGAGACATGAGAAATAAAATCCGAACTTCGTGGCTATAATTCCCGTGCGTAGGACTACTAAACTCTGGTCCTTTGAACTTACACATATAGGATCCTTATCATAATCATAGCTAGAATTTTTGTATCATCATATTTATAACATAAATTTTCGTAATTTAAATAATGAAAAAACAATTTGTACTACTACACTTACCTTTCACTTGATAATTAAAAAATGATAGAAGAAGTGATTGTTGGAGGGAGATCCTTGAGCCGCGTGCCGGGTTGTGTGTTTGTGTAAGTGTATGACTAAATTTAATATGAAAAAGACAAGAGAAAGAGTAAAGGTGTAGAGACAAAGTGATAGAGATAGAGATAGAGAGGAAGAGTGCAAATAATTGGTGAGGGATAGTCCAATGTTCAGTTCAACTCCTATTTATAGTGCAAATTCTTGGACCATGTATGGAAAATTGAAAGGGAATGACTAGATGTTAGGCATGGTCAAAACATAATTAGTGCATGTCTTAAAAGTTGTCAAATCAATTCTTTTAATCATGTGATCAAATCAATTGACTTGACTTGAATCTTGGTGTAAATAATGCATGTGGTCTAATTAATTACCTTAGTTTATGTGGTCAAAGCAATTACTTTGCTTAAAATGTGGTGAATAATGCGTGTGGTCAAATAACTCATCTCTAATCATGGCTAATTGACATATTTACATATAATTTCATTTAACTTTCAATTTTACTCTTCACTTAGGTCCTCAAACTATTGGCTAGTAATTAATAAGGTCATTTAACTAAGTCATTAACCAATAAGGTCATTAGACTTTAATAATAGCGCACTTAAGTCTTAATTTTTAAATCTAATGACTAGCAATAAAAAATTCGGGATATTACAATATCAGTATCTATGAAAGCAACGAGCCATTATGTAGTATCATCAATACAATTTACTCTAGATCTGACTTTCTTATTTACATCTTTCGAGGACTTGTCTGACTAGCTAAACAACTAAAACTACCATTGATTTATTTATTGGCCTCAATAACCTTCAGGCATGATTTTCTTCTATTAGTTCTCCATTAGTGCATTATTTTACTGGAGGTTGCCGAGTGACATTCTTTTAATTTTCTATTCAAAGTTGGCATATGGAATACTACTTCCTCTTTTGGTTGAATTGATGACAAGAAGATTCCAAGTCTTTTGACTTGTAATAAAGAAACTTGAGTAGTAATACTGTCCATAATCATCAACTAGGTAACACGAACTTACCCCAAGTATGAGGCTAGTAATACAACGCCCTTGCTGTAACTTTTTTAGATAAGTACTTTTTAGGACACTATAGTTGCATTCAATAGCATTAGTGTATAGACAACATTTTTAATGATTCGACCTCTGTGCCCAAGCCGTTAGTTTATGTACTGTTCGCTTTGAGAGAGTCTGAATTCATCTTACTTCTCATGAATTTTATCGCGTCTTCAAGGATTTGAACCCAAGATCTTTGTCTTATAAGAAACTTTAAGCTGAATCCGTGAGGGGTAAGATGGGTTCAAGCCCTTCAAAAACTGATAGTAAATAAGTTAATGGCTTAGACTTTTCTAAAGTGGAGAATACGTAAGCTAACAGTTTGGGCATAGAGGTCGGATCGTTACAAACATGCATTTTATTTGTAATGGCCCGAGTCTCGTGCCCCAGTCTTTGTCATGTATTGTTCGCTTTGGAATGACATCTTCCCTCTAACCCTTTATGGCTTTCTATCGCGTCCCCTCGAAGTTGAACCCAAGAGTTTTGCCTTATGGGATATTTAAATTGAATTGTGGTACCAATTGTTGAAAACATTTAATAAAGATGAAAATATAGACCAATTTATGAGGGTTTTGGTTACTCTTAACATGGTTGACCTTTTAAAATGTAACTCCTAGTCTTAAGATGATACCAGAGTCCATGCAACTTCAATGAGCAATTCAATCCGATTAAGAATAAAAAAAGAGCACGTGAGTTATTGGTTTGATCAAATGAGTTACCATCATGCGGGGCATGCCCACATTGTATAAAGATGAAGTGATAGATCAATTTATGAAGGATTGGGCCACTCCTTTTAACAAGGCTGTCATTTTAAGATGGAACCCATGTTTTAATACAATTGGTACTAGGATTCAATTTAAGTCCCTTTAAGAGGCATCTAATAGCTTGGGTACAAACGTTATAAGAAATCTCCTCATTTTTTTTTTTTTGGGTAACGATTCAACCTTTGTGCCTAAACCATTAACTTATGTATTATCCACTTGGGAAGAGCCTACACATTCACCAAATTTTAAATGATTCAAAGATCAATTATTAAAAATAATGATTGGGTAAGAGTATCTTGAAGCACTTCTATGATGGGCTGCATCCTTTGGTCCTATTTGACTATGAGTTTGAGGATAATGCCATTGCTCAGATATAATTTTAGCTAGGGATGTTTCCATATCGAATGCAGATAGTAAAAACTTTTGCTAGTGTTGTTGAACTTAAAGTTGGTGGAAGTTAGACCACACAGTGCTGGTTTGGTCAGCATGGGTTTACTTAATTTTATAACATGTTGTGGAAGGCGAGCGAATTATTTTCTTCCCCAATCAGTTACTTTCCATGTTTAAAAAAAAGATGAGACTGAATAAAATTGTGAAATTAATTATGAAGAAACTGTGAATAGATATTGATGTATGCAATGGATTCTATCTAAGGAAGGAACATATATACAGGAAATAATGCCTATGATATTGAACTACAAGTTTCAAAAGTTTAACTATCTGGTTATAGTTATTCCTAAAATTTCTCCCTAGTTAACTGCATAAAATCGGCCTAGATCTTTCCAAGAAAGTTCTAAAATCTGCATTGCAGGGGAACATGTTTTTCTTGTATCTGCTCCCTCTTTTAGTCATGATGTGGTTTAGGGGGTGGCCACCTAGCCAGCCCTGTATTTTGTTTTTTACTATATCTTTTTTGAACTCTTCTAAAAAAATTGAGATGCTCACGTGCCATGGTCAACGAGCTGAGCTTGGCTCGGCCTTTTCCACCCCTAATGTGATTTGAACGTGAATTAAGGTAAGCCACATGATAATTAAGATTGTTTACTACTGAAAATGCTGAAGAAAAAATTTAGGTATGCAAATATATGACCACATAACATTCCTTCACGAGCTTCTTTGAATTTGAGTATATTGTTCCTTCTTGAATCTGCTTGAACTGATGTCAGTGTCCTCTGAACTCTGGAAGCTTAGGTCACCTATTTACAATATACAGAATAATGAAAAAATGACAGCTCCTCTCTTGTTTCTTAATCTGAACTATTTATTCAATTTTATCAAAAGAATCTTGACATCTTCCTATAGGGTCTGTCCCTTATTGTATTGGTGCTTGTCTCTGCATGATTTCTTTCCGTTTGGTTCTTTGAATTGTTCATTACAACTTGTAATAGGCTTGCTGTGTTTCCCATGTTTTTTGTTAGAAATGTCGACTTCCAGTTTTGGTGGTTAGTCAATTAATCTACATACCTGCTAATCTCTATATTCAGGACAACAGACAAGAACTTTCTCTGAAGCTGTCGAACAATATGCTCAACTAGGCCTGCGGACATTATGCCTTGCTTCACGCGAATTAGATGACGACGAATATCGAGAATGGTCTTTGATGTTTAAAGAGGCTAATAGTAAATTAGTTGATAGAGAGGTACATGCAAGGGTTACTGCTATTTGTTTATCTTCTTTCTTTCTTTTCACACCACCCTTTGTCTGATCGACCATCTTTATCTATTTGTCTAGTTGTAGGTTCATTTGTTGCAGTAGCAGCTATTTACTCTACTTACTGTATTTTGCAGTGGAGAGTGGCTGAAGTCTGCCAAAGATTGGAGCATGATTTTGAGATTCTTGGAGTAGCTGCCATAGAGGATCGTCTACAGGTAATTCCATCAACCTAATGAATCATTGAATAACCACTGGAGAAAATTGATTACAATATGCAAGTGGGCAACTCTTGTTTTCCATAGGTTATGATATTTTTTTGATCAGCTGCTCATTAGGTAGTTTGCTCTCATTTGTTTCTTTGATAACAACTAGGATGGTGTACCAGAAACAATCAGCACACTTAGGAAAGCTGGAATAAACTTTTGGATGTTGACTGGAGACAAGCAGAACACTGCAATACAGATTGCCCTTTCTTGCAATTTTGTGTCACCGGGTAATTCACTTAATTTTTGGCTTATTCTTGTGCACACACATGGCTGGATGATTATAAATAGGCGACACTTATCTTTTGCACGAACAACAATGCAGATGCATTTTTAATGAACATGATATGCTTTGACATGTGAATGAGGCAAACTTGTTTGAGACATATCATTTGATTCTGCAAGCAACACAAATATTACCTTTACATTCTGTCCGAATGCAATTGATGGCACATTCCTTTCTGAAAGTTCAAGAACAACGTCCATTTTCTCAAAATGGACATTCTCTAACAAAACCGTCTTCCTTAAAGTACATAATTTGACTCGTATGATTGTGACCTCATGTTTGGGCTAAAAATGATTAGTTCAAGTGCTCCTTCAACTCTTTGCTGAAACTTTAATCGAATGAGCCCATCCAATTCAAAGTAAGAGGAGAATTATTTTATTATCTCTCTGTCCACCCCTTCTTGCATCTTCCCTACAACATTCTTCTGCCCTTGCTTTAATGTGCTCCAGACAGTTGCTCTCCACGATTTCAGGGATATGGAATTTGGTGAAGTGTTCAACAGAAATGACTATTATTTTGTTAAAGATATTTGTTTGAGCAATTTGCTAACCCAACAATCAAGGTCTTTGAAACTAAAGAAAGAAATATGGAGGAGTCAATAAAGTTGTAAGAATGTTGCATTTAAGTTCATCTAGTGAAGATAAATTGTTTGCCAGCATATTGAGATGGTTTCAGTACATTTAATGAAGGCTGTTAAATGCATTGAATGGGAGAAGTGATGGATCAGTATAAATGGTAAATTAGAGGAAAATTGTGACCTATAATCACATGGACTGAGTTAATTAAAAAGACTTGGAACCTTTGTATTTTTTTTTTTTTGACGTGACTCGCGCAATAGTGGAATGGAAAGAGGATCCGTATGGTGTAGCCCAAATAAGTATAGGGTAAGGCTTTAGTGAGATGTCTTGAGTTTTTCATGATTCGTACTTATGTTGTACAATATTTACAGAGCCTAAAGGCCAGCTTCTTTTGCTTAGTGGGAAAACTGAAGATGAAGTTTGTAGGAGTCTAGAGAGAGTTTTGCTTACTATGAGAATCACAAATACTGAACCTAAGGTATGATTTCTTGACTTCATGAATTCAAAAGATATAACTGAATTGCTATTGTCAATGTGAACTTACTATCAAATATTGAGTGGCAGAGATACAATTGAATTGATTTTATGGTCACTATATTATATATTGAATTAAAATGACAAAAGAATTTGTTTAGTTTATTGAATAATCTGCTGGTTTAATGCTGCAAATAGTATCATGATATTCTTTACTCCTGTAGAAAATTCATTATTTTAAGTGCGTTGTAAGTAGATCGTCCCATTATTGATTCAGTCAGGAGTAACCATGCGAAAAGAAGCCATTAGATTAGGATTCCTTTAATTGTGGTTATCTTAAATTTTCTACACTAACCTGTTAAATTTGTTATTTTATGATTACTCGCCCTACATCACCTCTCCTTTTAGGAAGCCTCTTCCAGTAGGGAAGTTTGTGAATGGATCTTTAGGACCATTCGCTCATGAAGAGGATGATTTTTATTTATCTTGTGATGACCATATTTTGAGTGACATGGAAAAAAAAATATTGGTTGTTTGGTGATACAAAGTATCACTGACAAGATAGTACTCGGGCTAGAAGACCATTGCCAATATTGCTTATACTTAAGTGATGTCCTGTAATAAATGCACCTATTTGGCATATAAAACACCCAGAGTTGGTGCAGTATTTTTGGAGGGTATTTGTCACCATGTTGGAAAGAGAAATCTTTCTTTTCATCGTTTTGTGTGTGTGGAAAGAAAAGATAGGTCCTCACACAAGACTAAGAAACTTCGTTGAATCTTATTACTATTTCTCGAAACAAATTAAAATGGGGAAAGGCGATTCATGGATTGATATTGTTGTATAGGATTTGAGCTAGTGTATCTTCCGGTAGATGTATCGATATGATTATTTCTTGAACAAATTAGAAGAGAGGCATACCAGAACAATATAGGTTGATATGGTTGTATTTGTTTCTTTTGATGTACCGATGAATAAAATAGAGACAATAATGTTCCACGTAGTAGGGCTTTGTTGTTGGTGGTGGGAAATAGCTAGAGAAAATTTATTTGTGAAGCATGCCCTTGTTAGCTAGTTCTTCATTCAAAGCTTCAAAAAAACTCTGATTTTATTCTATGAGGCACTACCATAAACCAAGATAACATATAGAGAATTCATATTACTATGTTTTTGAATCCATAGAACTCAGCTGAACAACATTATAGCTGATTTTTTCTTTTAATTGGTGGGTTCTTTGTTTAGTGCCCGTTGTTGATGTTGTTGAAGACATTAAAATGATATACATTGATCATATAACTGCATCAGCTTTTAGATCAAGTGATTCAATATGATGTCTTAGCAAGCAAAGGTCTGGGTTCAAGTCTTGCAGCTGCCCATTTATGAAACTATTTACATATCAAGCTTTGGTGGAAAAAAAGGATCCCACCTATACGAGAGGGCATATTGGAAACAATGTTTTAATGATTAGCTTAAGCTTTAATATCAAATATTTCAACATTTGTTATGAACTTGACGGATCTTCTATTAACAAGAAGGAAAATGTAATACTGTAGTCTTGCCTCTCCAGGCTGAAGCAATTAGGATAGACTATTAACTGCAGTTTTTCTGCACATTTGATGCCATCCTCATTTGCTGACTAGGATAAAAGACTTATCTGTAGCATAGGCATTTTGAACATGATATTCAAGGTTGTCTATATATGAATTAAAGATGGCATCAAATTGAGAGGAGCGATTTGATATTCTCTAGGCAAATTAGGTCAATAATTTTAATGGTTGTATTATTAATACAGAAGTAAATGAGGTTAAGCAATTGAAAAGGTGGTAAGAGAATTTAATATATTAATGAACTTGGTATATTTTTCATGTGCAAAGAGTAGTCAAGAAAATTTAATGTAAGTAGTGTCTTTAATGTTTCATTTTCTATGTAAGCCCTTTATAAGTGTTCACAAAGTAAGATCTATTCAAAAAAATGTCTTTTTATTTATTTTATCATGCTTCTATTTTAAGTATTGAATCTTAGTAATTGACTTAAAGATTTGTTGATTCAGTTTGATGATTATAAGTGTAATTTGCATTTGTTTTGAGATTCCTTTTTGTACCCAATGATTTCCTTTTCTTTTTTGTAGAAAGCATCTTATTGCTGATACTTGATTGTTGCAGGATGTAGCTTTTGTTGTTGATGGCTGGGCTCTCGAAATTGCCCTTAAGCATTACCGTAAAGCGTTCACAGAACTTGCAATTTTGTCAAGGACTGCTATATGTTGTCGTGTTACTCCATCCCAAAAGGCCCAGGTTCTCTAATTGGATTTAGTATAATTTTCGTTCTTATTATCTGGTAACTATGATAAGGTAAATATGAAGACAAAAATATCACGAGGAATCATCCATTTGTCTCAACATAAGGACCAAATCAACTGGAATAAAACTTCTACAATTTCATCTGTTAGGAGATATTTCCGAAAATTTCCACATCCTCGCAAATGATGATTTGTTATACGACTTTTTCCTCTCTATACGGCAAGAGATTTCCTTATATTTCCTGTTCATAATGTATTTCAAATAGCATATAAACCCACAAAATTAATTACAAACTGCAATACTTCATAGAAGATGGTCTATAGTACCGTTCCTGAGAGTTCTGCACCATTGCTTTGATTTTCCAATTGTTCCATCCACTCCTCTCTGAACTGCCAGCTTCCTTCTGCTGCCTCTTTGAAACTCAAAGAAATTTGATGGGGACCCAACCATCTCTCCCAAAAGCCCAGGCTTGAGGATGATTGAATCCAACAATTATTAGAACCAAACAATACCTTACGGCCCCAAATCTGACGTCCACGGCGGCCCACTCCAAGATGACCTTCGCTTTACCCGGCCGGCCCTTTTTTAGCTGCTGGTATTCGGCATTTCGCTTGGGTCGCCCCTTCTGGAATTCGAACCTGTAACGTGGGTCTGCTCTGATACCAATTGCTGGGGACCCAACCATCTCTTTCAAAAGCTCGGGCTTGAGGGTGATTGAATCCCCACAACTATTAGACCCTAACAAAATTCTGCTTTTATTTGATTCCATCTTATTTCATTAAAATTTTTGCTTTGTACTAGGCTTTTGATTATGTATCGTTTTGTCATATCTTGTTCGCGTTACCCACAATAACAACAAATTATTATCTATGAAAACTAGTTATTAGGAAGATGCAGTTTCCTATGCAGATTGCAGCTAGAGGCATTTATAGTTGGTCCTCTTGTTAATCATGAAAAATGTTATGCTGAGTTTTTGACTTCTTGGTGAAAGTTCGTCCATTTATTTTTAAGGAATTCAGTAGTTCAGGTGGAAAAGTTAGAAGATCTTTAATTTGAATTTGAAATAAAACCTAATCTAATCTAATTAGTTTCAGATGAAGATAAGGATATCTTTATTTGCACTTTGTCTGTATTTATCTCTAGTATTCTAAGTTTATTAGTCACTTTCACTTACTGGATTAGATAATGTTTAACTCTAGAATAGATAAGTTTTATAAGATATATATATATATATATATATATATTGTTATGTTTTTCTCATTAATGTTTTGTTTGGCACTTCCACTCTTTCTAGGTAAATGCTGCTGAAGTTAATTTTCTAATTTTTCAGCTTGTAGAACTTCTGAAATCATGTGATTACAGAACGTTGGCCATAGGGGATGGTGGAAATGATGTGAGGATGATCCAACAAGCTGACATTGGGGTTGGCATAAGTGGGAGAGAAGGATTGCAGGCAGCCAGGGCAGCTGATTATAGCATTGGAAGTAAGATCTTTGTTGTTCCATCCAAATTATAGTGACCTCTGTGTTGCTTCAAATCTGAAACTTCAGTAACATTTAGTTTGACATTCTATATAATTTTGTTTATTGAAAAGAAATTAATAGGACGTGAAATTGTTCTAATAATTAGTTGTTTTTGGTGTTCAAAATTCTTTGAATCTAAATGCAATAGAAAATGACAAACATGCGTTGCTGCTCATGTTAGTGGTTGCTTGTTGATAAAAACTAGTTTGACTAGTCGCATGATCTGTTCTTCTTTAGACTTGACAAGCTATTCTTCTGGCATACTTTTAATATTTGCTGAAACGTTGTTAATGTAACCCATTTGACCAACCTACATTTAGAGACTCTAGACGTAAGATTCAAGGCATTGGGAAATTATTAAAACTGATCCTATAAAAAATGGGGAAATCAAATTTTATAACAATTAGAATAGAAATTTAAGATTCAAGGCATAAGGAAACCCCTGATGCTTGGACGCTTCAAAATAGTCATGTTGAAAACGACACGACACGACACGACATGGGTATGGATATGGGATATGTGTCGGATTCTCCAAATTTCAATTGGACACTTTGTCGTTTTTGCTTCTCCTTTTTTTCCCCTCTTTTCCTTTAATTTCCCTTTTTTCTTCTTTCCTGTTTTCGCTCTCTATAAACCTAGCATCATTGCCGAAAGGGTGGAAAAGGACGGTAGCGCTAGGTTTTCCCTTCTTTTTCTTCTTTCTTTTTCTTTCCATTTTCTTATTTTTCTTTCTTTCTCTCTTTGTAATGGTGGTTTAGGGTTTCGTTTGTATAAAATGAAAATAGGTTCCATATAGTGCTGCTTAGTGCTCTTAGGTCCAAATTGCATTCAAATCCCTTATTTTCTATTTTATGTAACATTTAGTGATTCCCATTATTGAAAATTAGACCCCAGAATTTTATTTTATTCATTTTAACCCCTTATTCAATACTGATTTTCTTCTTTGTTAATAATTTATTTTGGTCTATTTAAATTGACATTTTGGATTAGTAAAAAATTAAAGTTTGAAAGACGTATCTACGTACCCTTGTCCAAAATTTTGACTCTTTTTAGCTATATTCCTGTATCCTACATTTTAGAAAATAAAAGATCCGACACTTAAATTAGTACCCGTACTCGATACTCCTATTCGAGTCCGAGCATCATAGAAGGAAACTATTAAAACTGTATCTATAGAAAATTATGAAATCAAATTTTATAACAATTAGAATATAGGTCTTAGTAAACATCTTGCTTACACAGATATGGCTAAATTTCTTGTCTTAGTCTGAATGTACCACTGAAAATTGGTTCACTTGTGTATATAAATTGGAATTTTAGAGAGACCTCAAAAACATCTACTTTTATTTTGTTACAAGTCTTTTCTTTGGAAAATATAAAATGTTTTCGTTTTACAGTTCCTAAATTTTACAATGACAAAAATATCAAACAAAAATGTTTGTGGTTCCTTTGAAATAGCCTGTCAAATTCTTATTTAAACATTAAAATTCGCCAAGATAATTCTTTTGCAAGACATTGTGAGATTAAATGCGTTCCTTTGTTGTGTTAATCATTATATTCAAACTGTTGGGAGCGGTGAAAATAATTTTCAAATTCTTTTTTCCTTGAGAGGTGTTGCATGCTCTTTTACCTTGAATACGATTCTCCACTTTGCTGCTAGGTTCCTGCTGTCTTCAGTCAATATTCTGCTTTAATTATGAATTTGCTAAATTGCAAGTCCTGAATTTATACAATATCCTACTTTTTTCTTGCCCAGTGTTTGCTTAGAAAATTTCTGCAAGTTTCATCAATGTGATATTTAGCAATCTCTAGAAGTTTCATATTTTAACATCTGCTACCCATCTTGGCATGCAGAGTTCAGATTTTTGACAAGATTAATACTTGTGCACGGGAGATATTCATATAACCGCACAGCATTTCTTTCCCAATATTCCTTCTATAAGTCCCTGCTAATTTGTTTTATCCAGATCTTGTAAGTTCTCCGAGATCAAGCTCTTCTATTACCTGCCAGCCTTCTTAATTTGGTTTTTACATTGAGTTGAGATTATTTACTTAACTGCATACTGCTTTATGTACTCTTCCTCGTGCTAACCACAAAACGTATCTAGTTTCTCTTTCATTTCAGGCGTCTCTGGGACCAGTCTTTTTAACTCTGTCAGCTTGATGGCTTATAATGTTTTCTACACTAGTATCCCTGTTTTAGTCAGTGTTCTTGACAAAGATCTTAGTGAAAATACTGTAATGCAGCATCCACAAATATTATTTTACTGCCAAGCAGGAAGGTTTGACCCTATGCTCTTTCTTTTAATTACAGAGTTTTATGTTTTTTAATTTTTATTTAAGGATTACACTGAATGTAAGCAATCCTTAAATCTTCTTTGTTAAAGATTTCCCTCCTGTTTTCTCAATCAGAATTACACCTGAAACAGGCTTCTCAATCCTAGCACGTTTGCTGGATGGTTTGGGCGCGCTCTCTTTCATGTGAGTGCTTTTTTTTTTTTTTTCAAATTTGCTTAATGCGAGAGTTGCTGGTTTGAGTTGAACTATCTGATCAAGTTATTTTGGGGTACAAAAATGGTGCTTAAGCTATATCATAATTAACAACTGGTGTAGAAACTTTGAATTGTGGTTTTTTTAATAGGGCTCGCAGGAAAGTAATTATGTTTAAAATAGTACAGAAAAAGTAAAGAAATATTCGTTTGATGGCTTTTATAATTTAATAAAGATTTTCACTTCCTGACTATCTTATAGATTGCTCATTTGGGTGGATATTCTGAGCCACTGTCACTGAGCAGGCATGGTGCTCTTGATTTATGCTTTGTATTCAAAGTGGTGATAGCTAAATTGCCTATAGATAGAATCAGGCCTGGACGACATAACTAGAGCTTTGAAGTAGTGATAGACCATCACCTCGTGTTTTGTTTCCCAGTCCCCAGAAACGGATGTAGGCTGCGAACTGGAAAGGAAATATTATTCTAAATGTGTGATTTTGATATTGAGTTATTTATGGACATGAGAGATATTGAGATATTCTGAATACAAAAAGGAAATAATGGAAACAAGTTAATGTTTTATTTGGTCTAGGACTAGTTAAACTTAGTTTGTGTGTTTTAACGGGATCCCACTGACCTGACGAGGGGAGCTAGAGCCCAATTATTTGTGGCATTCTGCTTTTAGGAGTCATTAAGGTCATTTTTTTTTTCAGAGCAAAAACCTGAGACACATCACAAATTATTTGTCGCATCCATGTTTCTGGAATATGTTTATCCTGAAATATTTTATATTGGAATAAAAACTTATCGTATTATAGATTGAGACACATCACAAATACAATAGAGTAATTAATTTGTCTGTTTTCAGAAACAATAAGTTTTCAACACAAAAAAACTTGAACGAGATATTATCATAAACTTTTAGCATCTGAATCTACGTAAATATTGTTTTTGTGCAAAATGAAGTAGAGGCTTTTGGTGTAATATTAGTAAAAGGAAACTTTTGCAACATGGATTTCTCTTTTCTGCTTGTCGCTTTCTCTTGTCATATAAGAGGAGACAATGAAGAATTCCATAACCATTTGGTGGTTATGTTGAGATGTGATGATCGGACTCTTAAAAGATGGTGAAGTATCTATTTTAATACAATGTGACATAGCTATTGTGGTGCGGAAGCGTTGATAGAATTCTTATAATAAGAATTGGAATAAGAAATGTCTAGGAATAACTTGCTTTATATTAATTGAATAATAATTGATGATGATGATGATGATGATTGTTATATGAAAATTGTACAATACGTCCTATATTTATAGGCAAATTATCCCCTGCTTCTAATAGTATTAGGAAATTGAAATAAAGAAACTAATAAAATTTTAATCTAATTAAAACTCCTATTCTATTTAATAAAGAAACTATAGTCCTAATTAAATATAATATAGAAGCCCTATTACAAGAAAACTAATAGAAAATAAACTTCTAAAAATGATAAAATATATTAGTAGTAGGAAATCAACTGTAGTTGTGATGTACTACATCAATCTCCTCCACTTCTAGAAAACTCATCCTCGAGTTTTGCTTTTGCAAGGAAAAGAAAAAGGAAAAGAAAATCTATCAATCTGGAGGAAAATACTCAAAAATTTCTATCGATACTGATATTGAAGAAATTTCAATTTCTTGATGTGCTTGATAAATGTTATTTTCTTCCAATTTCATTGTTTGAAGGCAATTTTGTTTCCACCATGCTCATCCTATTTTCTTCATAGATAATTTCTACGTAACCTTCATTACCGAAGTATGATTCAATTTCTCTTTCTTCGGTCTGCTCTTGTAAATCCGTAATGGAACACGGGTTTGCAAATGTCGTGATTCGTATACCTTGCGCCTAGCCCGTCAATCCTTGGTCCCACATGTTGTCGTCGTTGGTGATCAACGAGCTGGAGTCTCTCTTGTAGGCCTGGATCGAAGTCTGGACCTATTCTAGTGTGCGTGTTGATGTCTGCTGCAACCTTAGGGGTTCTTCTTGTTGAATAATCAGTCTCCATCATTACTAGAATTTGGGTTGTCTTCTTTCTGCCAATCATCTTGTCTGTCGGGTACTTCTTCCATGGGCTCGCGATTCTTCTCAACAATCAACACAATTGGCATTTGTGTGATTTTGCAAAGAGTCTCACACCTACCCAATTGTTCTACACTGGACTCACGGTGATTCTCAATAGTCATCGCAGTTAGTATCTGCGTGATATTGTGAAGAGATTCTTCCATCCCATCTAGTTGTTCAATTTTTTCAAACCTCCGTTCGCTGGTGGTTTGCTTGCCACTCGAACCGTCGTTAGCTATCAGATTAAGGCTAGTCCTTGCTTTGATACCAATTTTGGTGCCGAAGCGTTAATTAAAAAATGATTGATGATGATGATGATTGTTGATGTGAAAATTGTACAATACCTCCTATATTTATAGGCAAAATATCTCCTACTCCAAATAGTATTAGGAAATTGAAATAAGGAAACTAGGAAACTAATAAAATTTTAATCTAATTAAAACTCCTATTCTACTGAATAAAGATACTATAGTCCTAATTAAATAAAATAAAAAAGTCAAATTACAAGAAAGCTAAATAGAAAATAAACTCCTAAAAAAGATAAAACATATTAGCAGTAGGAAATCAACTGTAGTTGTGATGTACTACATCATATTGACATGGGATTCAAGTCAGATTCTTGGTGTTTCAGTTGAACCCGACACATGGGAGTGGAAGAAGATAGTGGACTGCTTCTGGTTCTTAAGGTAAACGTGAAGAAGAAGAAGATAGTTTGGCGCATCTTTTGTCATCTTTTTATTTTTTTAAATAAAATAAAACTTTTAAATTATTTTTAATGAAATTAAAAATAATAATAATATTTTTCATTAAAATAATAATAATAATTAAATAAATAATTAAATTTTGTATAATTTCTCATTTACTTAAAACTTTATAATTTTAAAGAAATCATTTTTTTTGGTGATTTTAGCATTGAATTTAATTGATTTCTATAAATTTTTTCTTGAAAATACTATGTAAGACCTAGCCACATACCCATATCCAAAATTTTAACCGTATCCTTATATTAACACTAGTAGTTAACATATTACGATATGGGGGGTACGGTTAAAATGATCCAATCTTTGATATATATATATATATATATATTTATTTATTTATTTTTTTGATGTAGAAATCAAGTTAAATTCATTGGCAAAATAACAAAAATAGCTTTAAAATTATAAAGTTATAAATAAATGAGAAATCATACAAAAATCAATTATTTATTTAAATATTATTATTATTTTTACTTGAATTAAATTTTTTTTTTTGAAAAGTTATTCAAATTACAAAGAATAATGGTATAAAGCACCAGTCTATATAGTATTATGTGATAGGTTCGATTAAAGGTGAAATTATGTGATTCGTTTAATTGTACCTTTCATTTAATGACATAAAGTGCCACCTAGACTGATGATGTAATACCAGTAATGTTAAATAGTGTTACTCAATTACAAAATAAAAAAGGTAATAAAAAGTGAATGAAGCCCACTTAACAATCATTTTCCAATATAACCAAAGGTGCGCCAAGCCAACTTAACAAAAGGTAAGAAAACACATCATCGTATTTACCTAATTTCACAGAGCCAAAAGTAGACTTGTCTTCTTCCACTCCCAGCTTCCGTGTCTGAGTGAAACAACAAGGATACATGTCAAGTCATGCCGACACAGGTACTTCACCATTTTTGAAGAGTCTGAGCATCACAAGTTTAGTTAGTTTATTTGGTGAATCTAGTACTTATATAGGTTCGATTGTGTGCCTTGAGAAAAGATTGAATACTTGGACATGATCAAATAATTGACCATGTTGCAGGAAGTAAATAGATCCTTAAAAGTGGCTCATGCATTGAAGCTTGTTTCTTGAATTATTACTATTTATTTATTTTTTTTTTTTGACCTTGGTAGAATATTTTCCTTCTAGGTAAAGTAATTAGTGGTTAATTTAAGTACACTGATCTTGTAATGATCTTCAGGCGATTGTTGTGTTTGTCATCACCATACATTCATTCGTTTTTGAGAAAAGTGAGATGGAGGAGGTATCCATGGTTGCACTGTCTGGATGTATTTGGCTGCAGGCATTTGTTGTTGCTTTAGAAACAAAGTAAGTTACTTCTTTTTCCTCTTGCATTTGTTGATGCTGACTGCTGTTAAGAGCTAAAGAAGTGCTAGCATGGGCCTTTGCTTTTATCCTTCTCATAAGTTTATAAGAAGGAAAAGTTCTGATTCTTGATTCTTGATTCTTACAAACTATTACTGATACAAACTCATTCATGTCGCACGCTACACGTATCCCGGAATCCATCAATCTAAGTTACACTTCTGGAAAAGAAACTATCTTGATTGGACCATATAACATTATTCATGCGAGAATCTATTGATGAAGTTTTGACTTCATTTGAAATGGAAATTTGGTGGAGCACGTCTCTGTTTTTGTTTCTTTGGTTTGTTTTGTGATTTGTGATATTTTAAATAGACCTTTTTTTTATTTTTTTTTGGCAGTTCTTTCACAATATTGCAACATCTTGCAATATGGGGGAATCTGGTAGCTTTTTATGCCATCAACTTGATTGTTAGTGCCATTCCATCGTCGGAGATGCACACAATTATGTTCAGACTATGCCGTCAGCCATTGTACTGGACTACGATTATAGTAAGTCTTATGTTTAATTTCCTTTTACCTCCATTATTAATATCTTGGGTACTTAATATCAAAATGATGATATCATGCTCATTGTATACCATTGCAGCTTATTACAATGGCAGGGATGGGTCCAGTGCTTGCTCTGAAGTACTTCCGATACACGTACAGATCGAGTAAAATCAACATACTTCAGCAGGCTGAGCGTTTGGGAGGGCCAATTCTGTCATTGGGAAATATAGAGTCTCAGTCGAGATCTTTAGAGAAAGATATCTCCCCCTTATCAATATCGCAGCCAAAGAATCGCAATCCTGTATATGAGCCTCTGCTCTCAGATTCTCCAAGTGCCACAAGACGGTCTATAGGACCAGGTACACCATTCGATTTCTTTCAGTCGCAAACCAGATTGTCTTCAACCTATATGAGAAATTCCAAGGATAACTGATGTCTCAATTCTTGATGGATTAAAGCAAGTTTAAAGAAAACTCTGTTTAACATGATTCTTGGTTCACCATCATATGACATGGCTTTAGGGATGGAATTTTGCCATGAGTATCGAGTGGTCTCTTGTAATTAATTAAAGGGCCCCGAATTTTCTTTTTACTTGGAGGTCTACACGAGAATGATGACGACTGTTGTGATTAAAGGGCATCAAGTGGATTTCAATTTTTGACAAGACCTGGGGATAAATACATTAAATCATTCTAGGGAAAAGTAATGTCGAGTATTTTATTTGGAAAATGATAAACAAATAGGGGTTGACAGACCTCTGTCCAAATAGCATGGCCCATTTTATTTACGGTATTGCAATAATTATAAATTTCAATTAGAATATAAGTTTTTTATTAGAGCATCT